GCTCCCCCGCCCCGGTGTGAATCCGTCTTTGCTGGCTCTGCAGACTCCATATCCCCAACTGTCCCGGCCTCACCCCTTCTCTCTGAGCTCTGACCACCCATTCGCCTGCCAACCCGCACCCCGCCCCCCGCATTCCCGGGGTCCCGTACAGCTGCTCCTCACTCCCCTCTGCTCATGCTTCTCCCTGAAGGTACCCCCTTCCTCCTGCTGACTCCCCAGCTGGCAGGGCACCAGATATGCACCCCCAAATTCTTCCGTAAGCTCCAACCCCGAGCTCTGGTCCGGTCACAGTGGCCCAGGGCCGTCTAGCGTGCTTTACTGGCCCAACGTCCAGCGACAGCAGCTTCACCACCTTTGTAACAGTATTTACGTTATTTTCTCGATATTTTGTTTTGTTTTTACTCATTAATTGATATCTTTAAAAGTGATTGTCAAGGAAGTCAAGAAGGAAAAATCCATGGAGAAAAATCTTAAAATTTTAGAATTGAGAGAAAGATAGAAAACATCAGATGAACTGAAAGCAAATAAACCATATTTTAATCAATTTGTATGTATTGTGGGGTCATGTTTAATTCTGACATAAAAAAACAAACAAAGTTTTTTTGGAATAAGGCAAAGTTTGTTCATCCAAGACACAAACTTGAGACAATGAGCTCTAATGCTTCTCAGCTCTATCTTAAGAGCACCTCAAATTAAAGCTTTTTATTTTTTATTTTTAAGGTCAGAGGAAGAGAGGAGGGAGGAGGGACTCAGCAAGAGACGCCTGAGGACTATAGACAGCCAGGTCCCCGAAAGGGCCCAAGGAGGGATGAAATCGCTTTGTTTCGAGTCAGTTCCACACATTGCCCCCAGCTGACCTGAGCCTGGTCCCGAGGCAGCAGCAAGTCTTTGACCGAAACCACGGTTGTGTGCATATTTCCCCACCTCTTCAGGGGAGGCGCCCTCCGACAAGGGGCTGGTTTTGCGAAATACTCAAGCCCCAAGCAGAATTCCTCCCCCAGTCAGACTATCTATAGCGAGAACTATTAGCCTTACGGCTATGGGAGAAACTCAGGCTTGAATTTATGATAGAGTCAGAGAGAGAGAGAGGAGGAGAGAGGGGGTGGGGGAGAGAAGGGGAGAGTAAGAGAGAGGGTTCGCTCATTTCACTCCGTTACAAGTCTCCCCGTTTTTGGTCATCCCTCAATCTCGAGGGCAGTCAGGCTACTGCATCCAGGTTTGCTCCAGAGGGAGGATTAGCTTGTAAAACAGAGTCAGACTTGTCTGCGCATCATGCCCCTTTAATCCAGCTCCGACACCTTCTCATGCCCACCTCTTCCGAGATGGTCCCTGAGCCTTACAGGTGACATTCTTGGGTGCTCGGTTTACAAGCAGAGCAGCAGCAACGTTAGAAGAAGCAGCAGGCCAGGAGACCTATCCCCTAATATGGGACAAGGAATAAAAAATAATGAAGGTGGGCAGTGACGATCCGACAGACTCTCCTGGTCCGGAGTCCGAAGTTCTCTGATAATGTCATCATGTACTTAGGCAAACCCTCTACATGGCTCACACAGCAGCAGTCACTGAGACTGTCCAAGCATGAGATGTTTCTCATGTGACAATTTCTCTGAAGTTTATATCCTGTATCTAGCTGCAGTCTGCAATTACAAGGCTCAGAAGAAAAAAAACAAACAAACAGTTTTAGTTCTCAATAATTTCAAGGCAAAGGATGGGCGGCAGGGGGTGGGGGAGGGAGGCGGGAATAACACTAGTTCAGAGGGTTGCACAGCCAAGCACTTTCACTAGAAAAATTCAGGATCCAGTCCAGGCCACAGGTGAAAAATAAAGCTTTAAGGACACCTGAATCTAATATTCACAATTGTGCGTTATGGTTTCTACCGAAACACTTTTCTTTCTAAAATCACTCCCTTTTTTTTTTTTTAGCAAAGATAGCCAAATTAAGACTCATTCATTGTATAAGTCTAGTTCCAATAACTTTGGCCTGTTATTTGCATAAGTACAGCAAGAGTAGCAATTGCTCATAGAGGCTCCTTTAAATCTGCTTCTCTGGAATTTCAAAAGGAATTCCACTTCAGTTAGCTTCTCGGGGCCAAGAAGCCAAGCCACATCCCTGCCATTGGTCTGCGGGGGGAGCAATACCTATAGATCTGGGTGAATTCTTCAGGTTCTTGAGGTCTCCAAAAATGTCCTGAGGTTCTTTTGCCATCTCCCAGGAAAGCAACCTTCGTTCCTTACCTGGCTTACCTGGAGCGACTGCTGTGAAGCACGTAGGCAAGGTACTAGACTGTTTTTCCAAGGGGCTTTTATTGGCTTCCAAAGTCAGTCTTAATTTCCTAAAGCTTTCTGGTGGCATCCAGAGTCTGCGCATGTCTCTTCCACACATGGCATTCAGTCAAAGCCTTATCAAGAGTTTCCAATTGTGTCCTATTGTGAAGAGAACAGATTCCTATGGAATTTATGCAAGTGACCTTATTGCTGTGAAAATAATAATACTCATTCAGAGTCTCCAAATTTCTGGAGGGATCAGGTAGGGAGAAAAATATAAATGTTTTAATACCACTTAGAAAAGTATAATTTACCAAACTACCCTGAGAGAGAGAGAAAAAAAGAAACAAGTTAATCCAGTTATTCCTTACATGTCTACAAGTCGTCATCCAGTTTAAAGCCAGGATCCAAAAAATTCACTCTCAGAAACATGTCTCCTAAGCCAGAGTCCTCTCCACAGATCTTTCTCAAGACGAGACACTTGCAAAAGTGTCATCGTAAAGTCAAGGACCACCTAAATGCTAAGGCTCAAAGTGACACGGTTATAGATCTGACTATAATGTAATTGACAAAGGATTTTACTTTCCTGTGACATGTAACACTGTAACGTAACAATTAAAATTACAAATGAAAATATATCATGGCTTCATAGATGGACTGTTGGAGATTTTTATGCTTCTTGACAAACACAAGCTAGTGTAGATACGCGGGTGACGTATGGTGAACAGGCAAAGAGCAATTCTGAGGTGAAGAGGATTTTACCCTTCGCAAACAGAATCATTTTCATCCTCTGTGAGCGATTTGACTGTTGGATACTTGCGCACCGAGATGTCTTCGTGCATATAGCTCATACGAAAACAAAAAAGGAACGAACTGTTCTTAAGTGAGCTTTCTCTCTGCACTTGCGCCAAACTCCCTCCTCCAAGGAGACCGAAAATTAGTGACGCTGCAGTATCTGAGCTCAGTCAGTGTTAAAACGGGTATCGAAGATCCGGTATCCGCTTTCAGAAAGGAAAGAAACACCTCTATGGTATTTTTGAGCTCCAATTTCAAATTTCCAAGACAGAGGATCTCATGGGCCCGACTTGGGTGGATGTTTAGCTTAAATAAATTTGCCCATGATTTCAAGAGAGGGACAAGCCGGGAGCTGGAAAAACACTTCAAAGAGGTCTTTGAATGAATGAATGAATGATGCAGCTTTATTCACCTAAAAAGCTATAGTCTTCAGCACTTACACTATCAAATAGAAAAAAAAATGAAACTGTTCTAGCCATTCCGCTCATAAAAAAAGCAGAGAGAATTCACAAACATAAATGTGGTGATTAATAAAACATAAAATGAAAAATAACACTTATTTGGAAAGAGATTGGGTTTTGAACACCTATGTAGATATATGTGCTTCTGCGTAGGCCGGATGGATGAAAAGAATGAAAACGAGATCAGCGTGACAGGATACGGGAGAGGAGGGAACCACAGACGAAACAGGCCGCCGAAAAGACAGAGTACTGCCTGCGATCTCACATTAATAAACCCGAGTGTCACAAGATGAGCGGTAAACTGGGGGCCTCTCAGGTGGTTTGACGTGTGCTCATTGACGCTGTTCTTGCTCTGCACCTTGTACCTGAAATAAGTCCTACCTGTGAGTGTAACCGGCTCCTGAGTCTTACGAGTCCTTTTAGCCAATCGGCCAACAGGAGGGGCGTCTTGAGACCACCGAAACACAACCCAGCATGCGCGCACACACACACACCCCCACACAGACACCTCTGTAAATTAGTGAAATTACGCTCGCTAAATGAATTAAATGACAAGCAGTAAATAAGTGAACAGCGGAGCCAAAGAGTTAGGGAAGGTGTTTGCAATACCTAAAACCAAGAAAGTGCATGACATACAAGGAATTCCTATAAATCAATGATAAAAATGCAGAAAACCCAACACAAAAATGGGTGAGAGATTTGAACAGGCACTTCACGAAAGAGAATATCTAAATGGCTGATAACTGGAACCGGAAATGAAACCCCCAAGGAGATACAGACTGTAGACCCACCGGGACGGCTAACAGCGAAGGCGACACGGAAACGTTCATTGACGACACCCAGCGAGCGGGAGCCGTCGAGCAGCCGGGCGGCTTATTTTTCTGCGAGGAGTGGGATCTGGTTCAAGCACCCGAAAAACTCCGCGGGATACGTGCGTGTGAGGGGAACACGTCTATCTCTCCCTTACGAACCAGAATGCCACTCCTGGGCGTATACCCCACATGAATGCATACGGGTTTTGACCAAAGGACACGTACAAGGAAGGTCATAGCAACGTCTAGGAAAACGTTCCAAAGCCTCGCCGTAATAGAAGATTAAATGAGATGTGACATAGTCCAACTATGGAATCCTAGATAAGCATGAAAATGAACAAGCTACTGCTAGATTCAACACAAAGGAGAAGCCTACAACTACTGAGCGAAGAAAGCTAGACAGAAAAGACCTCACGCCGTGTGATTCCATCTGTCCAAACCTCCAAACCAGGCACCCTGGAGTGGGTTGTAGAAAACAGCACAGGGCGATTCTGGGGCACGGGTAAGGGTTTAGGGCCTGGGAGGAGGTTTTGGAGACTTCGTGGTTTTGGTAAGGTTTTATTTTTCTGTCAAGATGGTCATTTACATACATGTGTTCATTCTGTCAAAACTTTGCCATACTGTCCATTTATGAATTAATGCAACTTTCTTTATGTACAATGTGCTTCGATGAAAGATTCACCGAAGAGATAATACGATGGTTGCAAGTGACTGAATCGATTCCACAATCTGCTAACGCATTGCAGCCAATGTTTGCTGCTGCTGCAGGGGACAGTCCGCGCTGGGGACTGCAGAGTGTGTTACGGATGTGCACGTGTGTAGAGGATAAAAGTCCCCAGGCTAAAAAAAAAAAAAA